ATTTCATTTCAAAGGTATAGTAACTGTGTCACTGTGCCCACTGTTTATTTTTGTGATTATATGCACTCAAGATGTGACTGTCTCAGATGAGACCAAATATGGACAGGGACAAACTCTGTTTTTCTTATTTCAAAAGAAGAAAAATACCTCAAGTTCTGAAAAGTTGCTGTTAAGCAAGTTACTTTTTTATGCACTTTCAGATGTGACCAAAACAAAAGATGTTGTTTCTAATCTGCACTTTGTTTTTATGTTGATATGCACCTTAACATGTGCTTGTATATACCTATCAAAATGTGTTGAAGTTATGTGTTTGAAATGTAAAATTTAAAGAAGCAGTATTTCAGCACAGGTTTAGTTTAAGCACTGCTCTTCTATTGTGTTTATGTCCTTTGGATGTGGCAATACATTAATAAACATCCAGTGTGTTTGTTATCTTTCTGTGTTTATTTTAAATGGTTAACTCTGCTCACTGTCTGCTAAACATGTCCAGTCCAGCTCATGTCCTTAGTCTGAAAATCCGACCCAAGTGAATTTTTAATTGAATAGCCCTGTTCTAGGGTGTCTGGCACTAGTTGGTTGGCAGTAAATCATTTGGATGCTGTTGGTTTCAGGTCGGGGTTACATGGATGAGGCATGTTTTGGCTCAGTCGTCTTGAGATCTTAGGAATTTGGTTAACATTCCCGGTTGTTTTTCATGTTGTTTGAGCTGTTACTGAGCAACTTCAGGGGTGTGGCACTGCCATCGCTATCAGTTACTTAAAGTAATACTGTTCACATTGGAAGTGTTGGATGGTACATGTCAAAGTAACGTCCACATGAATGCCAGGAGCCAAGGATTCCCAGCAGAACATTGCACTGGAATCCTTTCTTCACAAAATGATGTTCCTACACAATTAAACTAAATTCTCAAAGAAATTTTTAGGAAAATGTATTTTCTGCCAGATTTATTTTGTGTCTAATCAGCACATCTTTGCCATGTATTTTACTCCTTCACTATTGTTTTTCAGCAAACCAATTATATCGTAGATAAGACAGGAATTGTCACTTTGGTAACCCTGAAAATGTAGTGAAACGGTCATTTAGTTTACCGAAACTTAGTAACCTTTGTGCCTAACCCTAATTAAGCTTCGAGTGTGTAAAAATGTCCAACAAAGTGAAATATTTTCCTAAACACAACCACATAGTTGTTGTGCCTTAACCTAACCAGAAAGCAAGTGAAAACCAAAAGTATATAACAGAAAACAAAATATACATTTAAGACTGACGACTTCTCGTCCATCACTGGACACAAACTCTGGTTAAAATTATTCTGGGAACTCTGGCATCCTCCCCTCTTGCCTTCTTATCAGGACTTTGTGGCTCTTTCAATCTGGCCACCGTTCCCACCACATCACAGCCCACAAATTACATTTATTTCAAACACAAACCTACATTCCCTAAAAAACTTAATTGAGAATGCTGGTCAGTTGTATATGAACATCGTTTTGTAGAGATGGGCTTGTGCATTGTAATGATATGATCCATGTCAGTCATTTTATCTGCCACTAGTTTTGGCTGGTGTATGTTGACAGTGTGACACAACTCCTACTGCTATAAAAAGAAAAACAGAATTTGATAATCAGTGGCCTAGAGGTCTAGCTCTGGAGGAGTTTAAAGAACTCATTAAAACCCCACATCATTTGCTAGTTGTCTGTGGTTATTGCAGAAATTGAATAAACAAATATCACAGAAGCTTGTGTGAAGTGGAATGGATTGGTTCAGGGATCAGGTCAGCGTCAAAAAACAAATCAGTGGATCAATATCAGGCATCAGAATCCTGCAAGGAGGACTGTGGCTGTTCCACAGTGTGTTCCCAAGTAGTTCTGATCCTACAGCCGAGTACAACCTGAGTAAATACATAGATACATTCCTATTTTCTCCTCATGGAGTTCATAGGTTGCTGTCATTTCCTGCAGTGAAGGAGATTTTGAAAACGGTAACGTGCACCTAGCTTTGCAGAGTCCACATCCAGTGAGTCTGACTACTACACTTGTAAATCCTACCTGCTTGGTTTATCTGTACATGTGAAAAATACAGAATAATCTATTTGTCTTTTATTAAAAGGACATGCTATAACTATTTCTTGACAAACCTCTTAATCTATCCAGCAAGACTTTCTGAAAATACTAAATGTTACCAGATACAGTCGGTTGGCTGTGGTATCTAGGCTGGATGGGAACAAACATGGCAACCTTGGTGAGACTTCATACCTACAATTGCTCCACCTGGTCAAAAACAAAGTTACAGCACATGACTACCAGTAAAGCTGTAGTATTTACATTTCTTTTCAGGTCAGGCTACGCTCTCAAAGTTAAGTCGGGGAACCTGTTAACTCAATTAAATGCATTTTGGCAAAATAAATACACACATATACTGATGTAGATAAACCTTTTAAGTTGTAAACATTGTTTTGTGTTGAAATTCTTATATTGGTAATTACACCAACTTAATATTGTGTGTAGTTTAAACTCAAATTTCTTCATTATTTGAGTCAAAACAAAATTCAAGCGGTAGTAATTTAATTAAAGCAGTATTTTTTGTTGAGCTTAAATAGTTATTTTTAGATGGAAACAAACAAGATGTGATGTGTTAAGTAGTGAGATTTAGAGGTTTGTGTGTGCATTTTTGCTCCATATTGGACAGATCCAGGCTGCAGTAGCTGTTTCTATCTGCTTCCACTCTTTTTGCTAAGCTAAGCTAACCAGCACTGTGATTTCTCAGATGTATTCATGCACACGTGCCACCTTTGTATCATTTCAAATTTGCTATTTTTCACTGTTGTTCACTGTGTTCCTTCCACCAAGTGCAAATGGTTGCATGTTGTATGTGCTGAAACTTAATTTGTCTGCTGTAATCTTGGGTATTGTGTGAATTTGTTTGTGCAGAAAAAAAATGTTAAAATGATTCTTTGCAGCAGCAGCAGCACAACAATGCAGAGGTGTTTTCTGTCAGATTAGTTTACTTATTGTCACGCACTGTCAGGGATCGTCTCGGATCTAATCAATTTAAAGCCGGATGTAAACAAGTAAAATGATGAGTTTGTGGTGAAGTTTGCTGTAACAACAGACCGTTCAAATTCAACACAGCTTGAATCAATTTTTCCACACAGATTGTTATATTCCAGCAGTGTTCTGTTTCTGAGATAATACAAACTGCTTCTGTTTGTCTTAGTTTTTCATTTAAATCACATTTTTGTTGTCTTGTTTTCTGTGCATGTTAATTTAACTGTTTCAACTTTTATTTGACATGATCAATGTTTTTTTTCTTTTCTTTTCTTTTCCTTTTCTCCTTCACTTTATTCCTTTGCATGCTGTCATCACTTCTGTGTTGCTGCTTTGTGTTTGCTGGAAAACAAAAACAGCTTCCGATCCCCAGATACAAGAAGGTAAGCTGCTGAGATAAGATCAAATCCCAACCAGTCCCCACTAATCAATGTTGAGTTTGATCCAACCAGCATCCAGACTTATTGAACCCTGGTCAAAACCACCACCCACCCCTCGACCAACTCCTCTGATCTCCTTCTTATTATCAGTGTAAAGTGATTCTTTAATGTTTCCTGTGAATGAATTGTTTCATGCTTGGTGTGTGTTATTCCTCTGGTCCCGTTCTCCTCTAGTTGTACAGCAGTTTATAATGTCAGTAATTACTCACCAAGACATGTTCACCAATTAAAAACTGACATTGTAAAGACAAATAGCGACAGTAGCCAGCAAACCAATGTGCTGATTGACCACAGTAGACTCAAAGGTCATCCAGTCAGCTGTTTAATTAAAGGTAAACTCCAACCTGAGATACTGGATGCTCCTACACATCAAGAACCAGTGTGTTGTTCAGGTAGTTATTTTTAATTAGCTGTTGCGATTTAGGCTTTTGGTGAACCTGCTTTGCCTGAACCAAAGTCCCCATCTTCTGTTTTAGTTAAATATTTCACAAGGTCGCTCAACAATACACTACACTTGTGCAATTAAGCAGCTAGTTTTGCACGTAATGTAGGTCGGGTGGCTGAGAGATCAAGACTGCAAGTTTGGAAAGCACATGCAGATGGTTAAAGTAAATTAAGTAAACTTCTAAATTTACAATGCTGAACAAAAGCCACTACAGAAGAGCTGCAAGTTGTACACAAAAGAGAGGAGTCATCAATACTTTTGGAAATGATCCCCCCCCAACTTTCCATTGTTGTGTTGTTTCTTGTAATTCTTGATGCAACATATGTGTTGTCATATAATTTTCTTTGTGTGTTGTGCTTTAAGCAAGTTAAGAAGTGCAGTAAGACTGTCATGAACTCACTTAACAGAATAGGTGGACACAAATGCTTGACTCAGAGTAGGTTCGGGCAAAAGACAGGTTTAATGTCAGTCAGGGTTCGGTACACAGGAAATCAGTCCAACAGGCAGAAGCATCCAAGAGGCAAGAGGCAAGGTCCAAAAGCAGAAACAAGGTCGAGATCAAACAGACTGTGACTTAACTTGAATAACACTGGTACGAGGACTGTGAAGTGCAACGAACTGGCGACGAGACAGTGAGACACACAGGGTAAAATACACGAGGTAATAAGGGTAAATGGGAAACAGGTGCGGGGAGGTAATCAGGGAGCAGGTGAGACAAAACAGGTACAGGAAGTAAAACTAGAACCGAACACCCAGTGAAGTGATTTCAAAATAAAACAGGAAAGACGAGACATAATGTGCAGACATGAACAGAAACTTGACAGACATGACAAAGACTCCTGAAAAATACATTCATGTTCTGTTTGAATAAACAATGCTGCAATTAACAGTTAATCTTTAAAACACAAAACTGAAGATCTCTTATCACATAAAACAATAATTAAATTCTCAAACTAAAGTCCATCAAATATTTTTGCTTGAAAAATGAGGATCAATCAATTGCTGCAGTTCTAAACTCCAGATCAACTTTCCTGAACTTAGCAAAGTCCACCAATATGCAGAAGTGTTGTCGTCACTTAAACAGAGACCAAAGAGCTGCACTACGAAGCAAGTTTGACATAGCCAGGCTTTCTTTGTGTTAGCCAGCTCAACAAAACCTAAGATCCCACTAAAATACAACATGTATCAAGACGGTGGTTTTCAACTTTCTGTTTCTTTTCATGTGCACGCTCACATAAAAGGGTGCATTAATGTGTCACATGACCGTTCTTCGCACAAAATTGATCAATTGCGTGTCACCTACTTCAGTCACTAGGTTGTTATAATAAAAATGTTGGTTTAAAAAAAATGGTAAAAAAGTACTGCTTTTCCAAATGATGTAAGTGATACGAATGTACTCAGACAAGACCAAGACTTTGAGTTGTTATGGGGTAATACCGAGTCAAGACTAGGACCAAAACAGTGCAACTTCCACACTGCCTGACTTGAAATAAAATGTAGAGCATGGAACCAATTGGCCGGCATCCCTTTAATTAGTTTTCTGAAACATGCAGTTTATAAATAAGTAGTTAATATGTTTGGATAATATTCACTAAATCTTTTTTGGGTGAAGACATTTCTGCAGAGTTTTGGTACAAAGGTAGATTGCTAGCATTAGCTTAACTTAGCTTAGCGTTTAGTTTACCTTTCTTTATGCTTCCTTTCTCAAATGCTGATAAAGGTTTGCCTGATCCCAGCCAACTCTGTAAGAGTTGCACTGCAGAATATACAGTATTGTGTGCTTCCTATCGGATGCCGTTTTACAGATAAACTCTTGGTGCAGAAACTTTACTGCATTAAATTGGTCTCTCATCTCCTCCCAGACAGCCACAGCTCCTTCTCAAGAAACAAATGAAGTTATTTGTTGCATTTGAAGCAGGACGTTGTACATTCAGACACAGTAATGATGTAAACAAATAAATCAGACAATGCACAGGAAATTTAGTGATATCCTCACAGGTATGCTCTTGACATAAAATCAGTATGAGACACTTTTTGCCTTCTGAGAACCAGATGAGATGAATAAAAATTGCAGTTGATTTTGAGGCGAGACGTAGACCTTCAAGAAGTGTTCTTGAGACAACAACTGATTTATGGGATATAACAAAGTGTGTGTGTGTGGGGGGGGGGCTGTTTGATAGTTTAGTGTCGATGGACACTTTCTTCAGCGAGGTTGATTAATAACTGCTGGCATAAACCTTGTATCAGAACTATCAGTAAAGTGCAGGTACATTGATTTATTTTACATTAAAAATACACGAATAGAACACACTGTCAGCATTTAGACATGAGCTACTGTATTTCTCTTATTGCCACTATATAGAAACACCAACTTGATAATATACTGTGTGGCTGTTTTGTTAGCATAAGGCAAATTAATATATTTGCCACTTTGCTATAGCAGTAATTATGCAGGATGTAAACGAGTTTAGTCAAACTGCTGTTACGGTACAGGAGAGTTTTATATATTTTCCTACATATTTGTCCTTTAACTTTGCATGCTAACCATAATTAGAGCAATTAAATTCATTTTTCAGACGTCACCTGTGTCCTGACTTCTGTAAGATCCATCGACAACACTACAAATTTATGTGGGTTTAGTTTATGTACTGAGATCTTTGACGACATGGTTCCAATGTGACCAGACTGCACCCTGTAAAATTGGGATTAGAATAGAATATCTTTCATAGTGTGTGATTAAAAACTGCTAAGAAAAAGGACCCGGCACTTCCCCTTGCTGTCTTACATTCCCAGTGTTCTGCACTGTAGCTAAAGGAAATAGCTCAACTTAACTTTACCTCTTCTATGTTTAATTACCCATGAGAGGCAAAAAAATAGCTTGTCACCTTCCAAAAGCCTTTTAAATGCTAGTTTAGTTCCTCCTTTGTGCCAAAAATCACAAATCAGCCTCTCCGCTGTGTTTTCCCACCAAATCAATGCCTTGCTATCAATGACATGACTGGCATTGAAACTAACGTGTCCCAGCGTGACCCAACCCCCACCTCCTCTGTAATCCCCTCAATTCATCACCGTTGACATTCATCAGTGATGAATGGGACCCATCTGCTGGATCTCCATATCGCCTTCTTCCATCACCCCAGGATTGTCTACTCGTAGCCTTGACCTGAGCCCGTCCACTGACCCCAGATGGCTCCAGAAATTAACCCCCTCCTTCAACGTGGCGGCGGGTTTAGCTCCCTCCGGATTAGATCAATGCCCCTCTTCCCATCCGTCCTGTTATCTGTGATTGATGCTTTGTCCACCTGCATGTTCGCGGGCCAGTCATATATGGTAATGAAGACATGTGCCCCGAAGATGAAGAGGCCAATAGCAGTGTGGATAATAAGCAACCATGTGACACATGGCTTGAAAAACAAAGTGTCTAAGGATTCGTATATAACAGAGATGAAACTTGAATGATTCAAGCTATGAAATGATTCCACCAGTAGATCAAAAGCAAAGACGACAAAGAAATCTAAAGCCAACAACAGGAACACATGTAATCAAAACTGTATATATGATAAGTAAATGTGCATATGGTGCTGCTGCTAAGAACAATGGACAGCTGCGATAATGACGAGCAAGCAGGCAGTGTGAAGATAAGAGAGGTGGAAAACAAACAGGCTCTTTAGCCATTTTATCTAAATCAGTTTATTAGTTAGTGAACCTAAAATGTCAGTGACCCCTGCACAAAAAAACAACAACAACAACAACAACAACAAAGACAGTGGATCAGATTTGTCTGATCATCCAACAGTTTGTGTTTCTTCTTATTTTTATGGTCCCAGACATCAGCTATAACCTTTTAAACCAAAAGCATTAAAGGTTCTCTGTGCAACTGTCAGAAAACCCTTAGTATTATGTTAATTTTTTTGAAAAGCAAAATTTCTTTGCATAATGCACATAATGGGAGATAGAAACACTTTTTTTTCACATATATTCTGTTCTACTGAACATTTAATCCACATCATTTTTTTCTGCTTCTGTTTATTCCAATAGCAGCTAAGTAGAATAACACAAACTCCAACACAAAACTTTTTAAAACACCTTTATTTATGTTTTTCTAATGTTTAGCTTAACAAAAGTGCATCTGTCATTTAACCTGCAGTGCTGATAGGCTGTTATTTTTAACATGTAACCAATCAGATAGTACTGTGGACAGGACATTTAATTGAGACCACCAAGTATCAGAGCCATCGTAGCACATTTTTAGACAATTATTTATTTTGTTGGTAACCAGGTAAGACAAAGAAACTCTTTGCACATCTACAGTTGAAACCAGAAGTTTACAAACACTGTATAAAATCACATATAAGCTTTTATTTCTCACTATCTGATTATAAATCAGACTGAACTTTTCCTATTTTAGGTCAGCAAAGTGCTACCAGATACTAAGGAAATCTATGTAAATTTCTGACTTTGAAGAAAGCAATAAAAAGTTATCTCTCTCATTATTCTG